TACTAATTACTAACTTTCAAGTAGGTTGTTAGAAGCAACAGAAACAAACTAAGACAGATGAGGAGACACTTGACCTGAGGCTTGAAGGATGACAGTTTGTCTTTTAGGTCATGCTAGAGAAGGTGGGGAATGATGCTCTGTAGAAAGAGGAAATGGGAGTCCAAAGGCACCCTGAGAGGAGGAGGAGGTGCCATTCAGGTATGATGAATTGGTCTGCCTGGCTAGAGAGTGAAGTATTGTGCAGAGAGAGAAGATTTTCTGCCTCTGAGGGTGTGATAATTGAGTCTACGAAAAATGAACAGTGGGCAGATCAACAAGAAAAAAAAAAACATATTTAATTATGTACATATGCACAGAAGTCCCACAAAATCTGAGACTGGAGGAACGGCCAGATGATTGAAGCTCATATAGTATCCCTGAGCTATGAAAGGAAGTGGGGCTTGGTGCTTCCAGGACTGGTGGAGGGCAGAGGGAGGGAATGAGTGGCAAGCAAACGTTGCCTCATTATGCAGATAAACAGTCTCTCGGGTAATAAAAGTTGTTTCAGAGTATCCTATCAGGAGAATCTGTAACAGCCTGTGCCGAAGTCCATCTGGGCAAGGTGTCAAACTTCAGTCTCATCTTCCGATAAGATCTTCCCTGGTTGACGAGAGTCCTATAAAAATCATTTTCCTCTACAGAAGTAAATTTCTTTTACCAAAGGAAAGCATTTCAGAGCTACTCCTGTGTCTGCAGTGTCTCAGAATAACCTGCTCAAAATATGCCAAAGAAGTATATCCCAGAGTGGCATATTTTGGCCTCCTACGGTCATATTTTGAGGTGTTGTGTTCTGAGCCGCCACAGTATGTATAATAGCAGCACGGAAGGAGTTTGGGGTAGAGTATAGAACCCTGATAGGCCATGCTGAGGAATATCCACTTTATTCTGTGTAGACACTTTACTCATATAGACTTTATTCATGGACACGTGTTTTGAGGGAACTAAAATGGAGGGTCAGCAAAGTCTTGCAAGTATTTTGGAAAGATCATTTCAGAAATGGGATGGGGGCAGAGTAGAAGAAAGTGAGTACAGATGCAGAGAGTTCCTTTAGGAGAAAATAGAAGATGGATGCTCAAACTAAAGAAGTGGCAATGGAATCACAGGGAGGAAACCGATTCTGAGAATATTTATTTAAGGTATTAAGTAAGATATTTACTTATTTAAGAGAATCAACAGAGCATGTTCATGGAGGAGGAGGAAGAGGAGTTCGACTCGGGGAGTGTTGACTCCCAGATGTCAAGGAAATAAGAAGGGAAGCCCAGTAGGCCACTAGACACTGGGATCTGAAGCACAGGAGAGAGGTCTGTGATGGAGGGAATCATTTGTGTGTAAGTCACAGCTGAAGCTGGGATCTTCCAGGAGAAATATGTCAAGTGAGAATAGAAGATGCTGGACATCTGGGGAACAGTACCTAAGGGCAGATGGAAAAAAGAGACCCTGGCAAGAGGGTAACGAAAAAGCAGACAGGCTGAAGGAACACTTGGGGAGATGAGTGTCCTGGAAACTAGGGAAGCCGAGTTCATAAAAAGAGTGAGTGATGGAGACTATTAAAAGCAACAGAAGGCATCCGATTAAGTAAGACCTGAGAGGTTCCCAGCATATTTGACAATGAGCTGTTCAGACGTGATCTTTGCCGAAGCAGCTCCATGCAGTAGGGCAAAGCAGAAGTCATACTCCAGATAGTAGAGAGATGAATGGGGAAGGGAGACTGCAAGAACATGGCAATAGCTTCTAGAGTGTATGCTACTTTCTCTAGAAGATTGACTGTCATGGGAAAATGAATGGAGTAATATAGGGCTGAGAGGTTCCTTGACGATATGGAGAGCCTAGCACAGTGCCTGACCCAACAAAGACACTCAAAGATGTAATTATCTAATAAAAGTTGAAATGATGAATTGCTAAGTAACTGAAAAATGAGTCAGAGAAGAGTTCTTGTATTCAAAAACATTAAATTCCTCATTTATGTATCTTGACAAGAGAGGACACAGAAATTAACCAGAGAAGGAAAAAGCACATGGTCTGGAAGAATGTGTGAGCTTTCATGTTGTAAGCAATGGGGAGAGAAAATTGGGGTGAGACCCAGGCATAGGCAACTGGCATGTGTGCCCCAGAGAGAAGGCAGCTTGCAAAGGGGGAGCTCCCTGTGGGGAAGTGGACTGATGGAATACAGACAGCACCATCAGGTAATAGATAGCAAATGGAGCTGAGAAATGCCATTGTAATCTAATGCTGGTTATTTGGAAGTAACTGTAAAATCCATCTCAGTGTGCTTTCAATCTTATCGATGACCTATTGTCTAAAGTAATGCATAGTTAATTCTCTGAGGCAGAGATATCTTTTTTCCTAGTAAGAAACTACACAAGATATCAAGAAAGTAAGGCAACATTCGGAGCAGTATACATTTAAACAGACTGTTAGCAGAAAATATTTAGAGCAAGACCAGACAACATTGGCTGACTTTGTGAAAAGAGACCTGTATTTGAACAGATTTATTAATTTGTTATTTTATTTTATTTTGAGATAGGCTCTTGCTCTGTTGCCCAGGCTAGTGTGCAGTGGCATGACCATAGCTTACTGTAACCTTGAACTCCTCGTTCAAGCGATCCTCCTTCCTCAGCCTCCCGAGTAGCTGGGGCTAGACGCTTGCCCCACCAGCTGGACTAAATTATTTTTTATTTTTTATTTTTGCAGAGATAGGGACTTGCTAAGCCTGCCCAGGCTGGTCTTGAACTCTTTGCCTCAAGGGATCGTCTCACCTCAGCCTCCCAAAATACTGGCATTACAGGTGTGAGCCACCGTGGATGGCCTGTATTTGGACAGTTTTGCAGCACCGTGCTTGGCCTGCATTTGGACAGTTTTTACAGCAAAGATGGAATAATCCTAACTTCCCTACAGAGTTCCTATGAGAATTATAGGGGAAAGCTCTTTTAAATGATCAAGGGTGAGCTTTGTATGTGTGTGTGTGTGTGTGTGTGTGTGTGTGTGTGTGTGTATCATGACCTAGTTGCTACAAAGGGCTTTGTGCATATGAGTGTGTTTGTCTAGCATGCACTCCTGGTTTTTGTTCGAATTTTCTCTTACCTTCTTGATCAGGTTTGTTCTCTTATTAAATGATAAAATATGTGCAAAATGCCTGACACAGCATGTGGAATAGGGGTGTGCATGTTAACAGGAGTACTTGCTAGCACCATCCCTTCTTTTCCCCCCATATCTCTATCTCTTCCCATTGGCTATCTATGGTCTGTGGGTGAACCCAGGAACATTCCCTTTGCTCTGAACTTTCAGAGGACTGGTGACTCCTGAGCCTGACTTACAGTCTTTTAGTTCTGGGCAAGTCACAACCTGGGGGCCTAATTGTAAAACTGATAAAGCCTTGGTTTTGAAATCAACAGCTGAATCGGCATAATCTCCACTGTGCATTTTGCAAAATCCTACAAGGTGTAGCATTAACTAAGATATTTCTAATCAATGCAGTTGTCTTTCCGTTAGAAAGTGTTGCCTCAGACATCAAATCCATGACATTTATTTAGCTCTCAGGAGGCTGGCCTTTTAAACATGACGTTTGAGTATTTACTTATGAAGGAGTTCAGAAAATGCTGCCCCCGAATATGCTGCTTTGGCAGGCTGGTTACTTTAAATTGAGGGTGCTTGGGGAAGAGCAACTGCAAGAAGGAGCTTTCTCTGAACTTCCTTTTATCTGCCTAAAGACAGATCCTCCAGCCTGTAATCCCAGCACTTTGGGAGGCTGAGGCGGGTGGATCACCTGAGGTCAGGAGTTCGAGACCAGTCTGGGCAACAAGGTGAAACCCCGACTCTACTAAAAAAAATACACACACACACACACACATACACACACACACACACATATGAAAATTAGCTGGGTGTGGTAGCAGTCACCTGTAATTCCAGCTACTTGGGAGGCTGAGGCAGGAGAACAGCTTGAACCGGGGAGGCAGAGGTTGCAGTGAGCAGAGATTGCACTCCAGTCTGGGAGACAAGAGCAAAACTCCATCATTCCTCTAAAAGGAGCTCATCTGTCAGGAGTGGGAAAATCTGGGATCACGGCAGGCCCAGACAATTACCTGTTCTTCTGCTAGAAAACAACTCATTACCTGATCAGCTTTTGAAAATCTGCACGAGACAACCTTTATTCTTTATACACTTCTCCCCACACTCTCCCATAACTTCACCTGTGCCCACCCTAAGATCCAAAATTCTGTTCTTTTCTGTAACTCAGGATGCTATACAAGCTTCAATCATCTGACCCTTTGAGCCCCATATTTTGTGAAACTCCTGTGTGAATGCTGGTAATTAAAATGGGTTTTCTTTGTCCTGTTAATATGCCTTATGGCAATTTAATTAATAGACCAGCCAAAGAACCTAGAAGGGTGGATGGAAGCTACTTTTTGCTCCCTGCACCCAGTAGACGGATACCCAGGGATGTGGACAATAGTGAGAGGTAGAGGTGGGCTTTGAGGGCAAGGGGTGTGGGTGTGGGTGGGGAAGGGCATTAGGCTTCATTTCACAAGGGACTCCAGAAACTGCCCCTAACCCACCCGGCAAGTGCAATGCCTTTTCACGCCGGAGTTTCCTATCCGTTAACCAGGTATGATCATTCTTGCTCCATCACAGGGCGGCTCACGTCTGTGTACATGGCACCCCCACCCACCACAATGGAAATGATATCGTTAGCTCTGACCTTGCATCCGAGCTCCTGAAGCCCAAACTCGGCTTTTCTGCGGCCGGATTGCTGGGTGAACAGGACTCCGTGGAGGGGACACCCTGCTGCCATCCTGCCCGGGGCCGCTGACCGGGGCTTGGGGGCGGAGCAGCCGGGCAGGTTCGCGGGCACCGAGGGCGGCCCAGCTTTGAGCGCCTGCTGGAGCGAGAGCCGGCTGTAGGCGGCTCCTTCCTGTGCAAACTTTTCTGTCCTCTTCCTCCTCCCGCCCTCCGTACCGGCTCCTCGGCGCCCGGCGTCCACCTCCCCGCCCTTCTCGCTGCCTCGGAGTTGCGGCGCGCGGGGCAGAGCCCGGCAGCAGCGGGCAGCGCAGCCCTCCGCGCCAGCCCCACCCGGTGCTCCGGCCCCGCCTCCAGGAGTCGATGGCCGAGGCGGGCTCGCGTCCCGCGGGGTCCCCGGGCGATCCGGCCAGGCCGGCGGCGGCGGTCTCAGTCCCCGAGCCCGAGGCGTCCATACCGCCGCCGGCGCTTGCCCTGCGCTGGCTTCCCGGGGACCCGAGCCCCCGCGGCCGCTCGCAGAGCGACCTCTCCTCGTCCTCGAGCAGGGGCCGCCCGCTCCGGGTCCACATCTCCGGCTCAGGTAAGGGCGGCTCGGGGCGCTGGCCGGGGAGGGCCGGCCGCGGGCAGGTGGCCGCGAGGGTGACGCGGCCAGCCAGGGGCGCCCGCGGGCACTGGACAGGCAGGCTGGCGGCAGGGTGGGGTGGGAGACAGGGGAGGGCGGAGGCCGAACTCCCTGCACCGCCGCCTCCTTCTCGGCTGCCGGGGCTCGGCGACCCTCGGCGGAAGATGCTGAAAGCAGGCGACCGCTTGGTGCGCTTGGGTGGGCGCTCGCCTTGCGGGGCGAGTGTGCAGCCTGGGTTGGGTGGGGAGCGCTCCCGCTCGGCTCCGCGGCGCCAGGCAGCATCGCAGCTCAGCTTCGGAGGCTTTTCCAACAGAAGGAGGAACCTTCTAGGTTTTCGGCGCGACTTTTGTCCCTTGGAAGGGTGCGGCTCCCTCACTTCGTGGGCTGGGGCCAGTGCAGGTCTTGGGAGGCCTCCCAACTGCTCATAGTTCTGAAATAAAGACTCCTTTTGGGGGTTGCTGGAAAGAGAACCCGGAATATGAGTTTTACCTCCTTGCAAAAACCCATGCAGTTGATGGGGAGGGCAGGGGAGAGTTTGGCGGGCTGTTTCTGTAGCTCATCCTTTAGATGTTTGAAAAAGCCTCTGCCAGGCGCGGTGGCTCACGCCTGTAATCCCAGCGCTTTGGGAGGCTGAAGGCCTGAGGATCACTCGAGGTCAGAAGTTTGAGACCAGCCTGGCCAACATGATGAAACTTCATCTCTACTAAAAATACAAAAAATTAGCTGCTGTGGTGGCGCATGCCTGTAATCCCAGCTACCCAGGAGGTTGAGGCAGGAGAATCTCTTGAACCCTGGAGGCGGAGGTTGCAGTGAACCAAGATCACACCACTGCACTCCAGCCTGGGCGACAGAGTGAGACTCTGTCCCACCAAAAAAAAAAAAAAAAAAAATCTCAAGCCCCCTTTGCAGTAGCACTAGCCCATTGCGTCCTCAGAGGCTGCCCTGTGCCCAGTGTACGGGGACCGACAGAATCAGGAACTCAGCAGAGGCCGAAGCTGTCAGCCGTTTTGTGTGACATTGGGCAAATCACTTAACCTTGTCTCTCTAATCTCAGTATTGAGAGAGGTAATGATAGTATGGTACTACCGCATCGGGAGTTTATGAGGATTAAATCATCATTTTAAAGCTGCTTTTGAACAAGGCATTAGCCTAAGAACTGTAGGACTGTTTTTAGAAAGTTCACCAGATGTGTCAAGTTTCCACCAGTTTTGTGATGTGCAATCTGTGTAGGATGCATGGGAGCTGGGAAACTAGAAATGAAGCTAGCATCAAAACTACCTATAGCAGCAAAAGCCCCTGCCGGCGTGAATGTGCGCAGTACCCCTACCACTGCCAAGGTTTTCAGTATCTGTGCTCGGGGATCAGGCCTTCTTCGGGCTCTAACTCAATCTCACCTAAAAATTCCTGTTCAAAAAAGCACATTTCCATGCCTCTAACTCGGCTTCAGCTGGCTGACTCTCTTTCTCAACATAACCTTCTGTCTTCTTATTCTTATCATATTGTTTTTGCCACCCAACATGTGTACTTGAAACATCTCAAAAGCATTGTAGATCGCATTGGATGAAACGAGTCAGAACTCTTAAAATGGAGGTAGTGGGATACTGATCACGGGATTTGCGTAAAGAGTCTTCTTCTGAATTTGCCTTGTGGAAAGCATTGAGTCCAAACATGTTTTTACCACCTGCTCTTGGTGTCTTGGCCAAACTGAACTCGAGCCATGGATTATTTTGACTGATTTTTACAAAGATAAACTGTTCAGAGACTCTCAAGAGACCACTGAGAGTTCATCCAGTTGGTGATTGTAGATAAAGTATAGCTTGTATCACCATTTTTCATTTTCATAGATGGAAATCATGGCCTGTGTGCTGAAAAACAATAGGAAAGACATTTAAAATCTGAGTGTGCCAAGTGTACATCCTGTGAACCGTGGGCTCCAATTTATGAAATTATTTTTCTTCCAAGGACTCTTCATATTTTCTGTGTCCTCTTAATGGATGCTAGGAAGTGACACCTTTCAGCTCAGTTGTCTCCTGTGTCACAGGATGCTGACACACGTATAGAAGAGTGAACTTTCATGTGACTGATTTCATTTTCAGAACGGAGCCTTGGATCCCTTTAAGAGCAGACTAAATGTGATCAGGAGCTCCCTGCTTTTAGAGTAAGAGAGAAAAAGAATGAGCAGGTCTTTCACTGACATACGGTGTTTTCCCCCCGACTGCCCCACAGCCTCGGGAGCCTCGGTAAGCCATGCAGGATGGATCCGAGAATCGGCAAGATGACTGTGCTGGGATCTCTGAATTATCTTAGAGGCATAATAAGAAAGTTACATACCTGGTAAAAACATTCCCTTCTCCTGATGCTATAGTAGCCCCATTTCCAGCCTTTCCCCAGAAGCTTTGGGCACACACACAGGCAGCACCGAGAGCAAGGTCATATGTGGCTTTGCCAAAACAGCCAGCATCTGTGGCCTCATTGCAGAATCTCAGGCCCCACCCCACACCTGCTTAATCTGAATCTGCATTTTAATAAGATCTCCAGGTTCTTAGATACCTTCCAGTTTGAGAAGTGCTACTCTCCCACACGGGCTTTCAGACTTGGCTACACATAGGAATTGCTTGGGGAGATAACAACAAAACAACTTGTGGCTGGGACCCACACCTGGGGATTCTGATTCATTGGCATCAGGTGCAGCCCGGGCATTAGACGATGCTAATGAGTAGCAAAGTTTGAGAACCGCTGTCCTGTAGCATATATGTCACCCTGGCTTGCTGCCGTATGTGTGGTGATACCGTGGTACAAGCGTAAAGTTAAAGAATGTGTTTTAGTATTTTCTCACATCCCTGTTGCTACAACCCCTCTTATACTGCTGCAGCCTCCCAAGCAGCCTTCTTCACTCCTATTTTTGATTCCAGCTAGTTGTCAAATGTTCTTCCTAAAGGATAATTTCTAATCATGAGTTAACTCCCTGCTATAAGTCCTTAGAATAGTGTTGAGAGGAAAAGGAAATCACCTTTTGCAGTGACAGTGGCCTGAAAGGGAGAAGAGGAAGGGGAAGAAACAGTGCTTGCCAAGAACGATCAGAGAACAGCCTCCTTCCAGAACCATCTACCATCCTTGCTACCTGCAACCATTACCCCAACCCCCCTGCCACAGCTCCCCCTCCATCCTTCTTTCCAGGAAAGAATAATAAAAACTTGGAACTCAGCCTCTAAAAACTTGCTCACTGCTTTAATCAGTCAATCCAATACTAAATATATATATATATATATATATATATATATATGTATGTATACATATATATATGTATACATATATATATACACATATATATGTATACAAAAAAAGAAGAAAAAAAATATATATGTATATATACATATTTTTGAGACAGAATCTTGCTCTGTTGCCCAGGCTGGAGTGCAGTGATGCAATCTTGGGTCACTACAACCTTCGCCTCCTGGGTTCAAGCAATTCTCCTGCCTCAGCCTCCCGAGTAGCTGGGACTGCAGGCGTGTGCCAGCACACGCAATTAATTTTTTTATGTTTTTAGTAGAGACGGGATTTCACCATGTTAGCCAGGATGGTCTCAATCTCCTGGCCTTGTGATCCTTCCGCCTTGGCCTCCCAAAGTGCTGGGATTACAGGCGTGAGCCACCACGCCTGCCTAAATATATGTTTTTAAAGACCTATTCTGTGCTAGCACTGTTGATAGATACTGTGAAGATACCCCAAGAGAATCGGCTTCCCCTGACTATACTAGATTATTACTAGATTTTCATCAAGAAAAGCATCTCAGACTTCAAGGGATTTTATTTAACTTCTGGCTTAAGGAATTTTTAACATAAGAATGCATGTGCTTTGTCAGAAAAACAAACAAACAAACAAAAAAAAACAAAAAACAAAAAAACCCAAGCCAGTTTTATATTTCAAAATCTACACAGAAAAGTTAAGAAAATAAAGTATTTTCAAATAAGTAGTTATTAAAGCTAGAATTGAAATAACAGTGGAATTAATGAATAAACTTTTATTGAGTTTATAAAAATGCAGATTGATTTTGCCATATGGTTTTTGAACTCACACTTCTGGAATTCAACAAAAGTCCTGAACTTATTTTTCTTTTTCTGAGACAGAGTCTTGCTGTGCTGCCCAAATTGTAGTGCAATAGCTATTCACGAGCACAACCACAGTGTATTGCAGTCTCAAATTCTAAGGCTCCAGGGATCCTCCTGCCTCAGCCTCCTGAGTAGCTGATGTTATAGGAACGTGCCACTGCTCCCAGCCTTGGATTTTAAAAATTCAGTATTTCCTTGTAAATAAAGTGATGTTTAACTCAATATTTAGAGTAAAATCTTGAAACAAGGTTCCCATAGTATATGGTCAGGCATTCCCTTAAGTTTTAGACCAATCCAGTTCAGTATTAGGAGCTCTGATAACTTTAGTGGTTTCTGATGTGCTCTTCTGATAAGCCCAGTGTTTGGTAAGTAAATACTGAAGACACACAGCCCAGGGCACAGACCATGTAAGGATTCAGCAGGTACTCACTGTCGGCCTACTGGGTTCCAGGTGCTGTTCTGGACCTGTGTGGGCTGTAGGGAGGACCAAAAGATGTTGATTATTCTCATGTGATGACGCTTAGTCTTGCACATTGCACATTGGGCTACCTAGATCGAAGAACCATTTGAGTCACCTCCAAAAAAAAAAAAAAAATGTAGTCTAGGTGTATGGACCACATCACTAGCTTAGTGTGCAAATACCGTCTCATCTTTTAATTACTCTGATTCATCTCTTCAGTATCCCTGTGCCCTGGTATATACAGGTATAGAGGTAACAGCAAATCCAGGATCTCTTTCTCGTGTCTTTAATTCCTGGTGTGTTCGGTGCTAAGTGGAAGTGAGAATTCCAGCATACCTCAATCGCACTCACTGCTGTCAGTTCATACTCACCGCTGCCTGGCCACTGCC